AGGGAGGGAGAGAGAGGGAGGGAGGGAGGAAGGAAGGAAGGAAGGAAGGGAGGGAGGGAGGAAGGACCGAGGAGAGGAAGAATAGGAAGAGAGGAAAGGGGAGGGACGGGAAAGGAGAGGAGGAGAAGAGTGAAAAGGAGAGGAGGAAAGAAATAAATCCCTTAAATAACATAGCTTTTAAATATTTCCTGTCCTAAATCTTGTTCCAGAGAATTTAGAGATTGTATTTTCTTAAATAGGACTAGGAATGTGAAAACATAGAATCAATTCAATTACTTACACCTTGCCAGGCATTACTTCATTTATTTCTCACAACAACCCTTTTTTGTAGGTACCATGACTGCCTTGCCTAATATGCAAAGAAGGAAACAGAAGCACAGGAAAAATAAGAGATTTGTCCAAGTTCACTGAGTGTCAGAGCCATGATTAGAACTCAGACAGATGACCCAAGGACCTAATACTATTAACTATTACATTACCGGAAAGTCCTAAGTTTGTATGATTCAAAAGTGTAACTCAAGGATAGTTGGAAACTTGATATGCACTTTCCCAACGGCACAACCACATCCGCAGTGGTCGGGATTTCCCTCCCTTCTACCAAATCCTGGTAAACCTGCAATGAATCACAGTATTTGCCAAAGGGGCTAAGGAGGAAAGAGTGAAGACATTTATGGTTTCTTTTCTCGGTTTGGCGCATCCCACAGTAAAGCTATAGAACAAGCCAGGCTTGGTGTTAGCATCTCTGTTGTGCCTCTGACCAGGATCCCAAGGTCCTGATGCTGTTCTGACCATCTTGACACCCGCACCCCACCGGGATGGCTGCCTCTACCAGAGTACTCAAAACATATTCTTCCCCTACTACAATCAAAATGCAGGCCCAGCTGCAGCTGGTCTCATCTAGGATTTCAAAGAAGCAAAGGGACGAAAAAACACGGAGTAATGCACAATAACAGGTCGACACTTAATCCTCCCAGACAGTTTTGCATCATTAAGAGAAAACTCCGTGCTAGGTAAAGGAATATCTAATTGACACCATTCCAAATAAAGGGCAAAAACGTCATCCTACGTTCTTTGAAGGTGGTGACGATCATTGCACAGCTGATGCACACTTGAGGGCCCAACTCTCCCAAGTGGTTCCTGAACATTTTCTTACTTCTATTTTTTGAACATTCCACATCTTTTCTCAGAATCTTTTAAGGTAACAGCAATGAAGTTTCACACATGGGCGCGACAGACTGTTTTTGTGTTCTGAAGTCTCTACCTCAGAGACTGATTCACTGTCACTAACTCTTGCCCAAAAGTCTGTCACCCTACAACTTTCATGTGACCACGTCTCCACTGTCTGGTCTTGGGCCAACAGTTCTTTGGTGCCAAGACTCAGTTTCCTCATTTCAAAAGTGAGGGTTTGGAAAAGCTAGAGTTTGGACCATTTTTCATAGTCCGTTTACTGTTAGTATTCTCTAAATCAAAATTCATTCTTTAAGGCGGTATTTCTCAGAGGAGCACTGATGATCCCACTAGCTTTGTTAAATTTCAAAAGGTAACAGACATTTTCCTTGAGATTTGTTCTGGGAATATAGAGAGACATTAAAATACCATTAGGCCCTCTATTCTAAAAATAAGGCCCAAGAAAAAATGTCTAGAGTGTTTCCAAATAACTCTCTTAAGAGGTATACCCAACTGAGACCCGTAAGCTTTAAATTGCTGGACAGGACACGTGCGAGAGAGTAGTGAGAGAGTATGAATACTGAGCCGTCCTTTCAAAGAGTGAGCAAAACGAGGAGCCATTTGTTCCTAAAAGGCATGAAATTCAACTGCTGTGAGGGGCTGAAATATTTTGTTTTTCATCACTTGAATGCTGCAGTGAGACAGGCCACACTATTTTAGAATATGTGTCTATATCCAAGCAATGAGCAGGCTGACAGCTGACAAACAGTGCTCAGAACAGGGAAGGAGTCCACTTTGGCTATCAGAATGCTATTTTAGAAATAGTGATCATTTTAAATTGATTTGTGAAGTGCCTTTGGTGTTGCGCAAAAGTCTCGAGCACATTTCCACTAAAGTCAAGGCAGAAAGCTCTTATACCACCTCCACAATCACTTGGTAAAACAGCTGATACATAAATAGTACTATGATATACCGATAGTGAGGTTTTTGTCCTGTTTTTGCTAGGAACAATGTTCTGAAATGATTTACCTACCCCAAAATTATATAGTTTACCTCTAAAATTTGCAGAGAATTTACCTTCCAAAAATTCTGTTAAGATATATCTACCAAAAAAAAAAAAAAAAGTGTAGCTTTTATCTACTTATCTACCAAAAAGTGTTATGATCAGGACATGACTTTAAAATTACTGAATAAGCTACAGCCACAAAACAGGCTTAGATAGCTAATGGATTTTTAAGTTTCACAAATCACATTTTTCTAATCTTTTATTTTGAACTACTTTTAGACTTATAGAAAAGTTATAAAAATAATACAGAACTTTTCCATATATCCTTTATCTAGGTTCCCTCAAGGTAAACATCTTACATAACTACAGTATAATTATTAGGAAATTAGCATGGATAAAATAACTTTAACTGAAGAAAGGACTATATCCAAATATTTCTAGAATCTCCATTCAGGCCCCCACACCGCACTGAGTTGTCACTTTTACTTTTGTCAACTAAACTAACTACACATCTCAGGAGCAAGTTGCCATATTGGACTCCAAGGTGACCTCTGACCAACAGCCACCTGAGAACTAAGACCCTCACCCCAATAGCCCTTGAGGAACTAAAATTTTTCCAGAGATCATATAAGCTGGATCTTTCCACAGTCAAGCCTTCAGGTAAGAGCTCAGCCTTGTCTTTATTGCACCCATGGGACAGATCCTGGAGCAAAGGACTCAGATAAGCCACTCCCAGGTTTCTGACCCACAGAAGCCGTGTGATAACAGGTGTGTGCTGTTTTAAGCTGCTAAGATTATGATAATTTGTTACACAGCAACAGGTAGCTAACACACTCTTCTTTGACACATCATGTGGAGGCAGCATGTCTACTGAGTTAGACATAGGATTCACAGATTCACTGATGAGACTCACACAATTATCCCTCTAAAACTACATTCCTGAATTTGTCACACAGGCTGAATGAACAATGCTCACAAGGTCATAGCCACGGCAGCTCCCAGAGCTACAGACCTTAGTCATGGGACAATGCTGATGCTGGAAGGGTCTTGCAAAATAAGTTACTCCCATTCCCTCCTTTTACACTTTCACACTATGATAAACTGAAACCTAAAGGCGAGATCTCATAGGCGGACACAGACTCCAGCCCAGAGCTCACCCATCTGGCCTCCTCTCCCAACATGGGCCACAGATAACACGAACTTAAATCCACAAACAACATAGAAGCACGAATTCCTCACCACTGCTGGAAAACACAGAAACACCAGATGGCTGGTTCTCCCTGTGATGGGCCAACAGCGTTCGCTTCCCCTGTCAGCACATTCTGGTGC